GGCATTAACCATCTGAGCTCGTCCAGTGCCCCAGCAGCCGGCTGTCCTTAAGCAGGAAATATTGTTTAATGCCGATGGTAATGAGCGAATCAAATTTTGGAAATTAAACTGGAATTTGAGCATTAGTGCCAGGGCGCTGGCATTTGGCAAGTCAAGTGGTGCTGCTACAACCCGCCCCCTCCTCCTCCCTCAGGCCCCCCCACCCATGGGTGGAGGCGGGGCACCACCCTGAAACTTTGCTCCTAGGGCCTGTCCTAAACCTGCCCTGGGTGCCTGCTTCTCTGTTTCCTGGGCTCTCCTTTTAAAATGCAAACCGCTCCAGCGAGCCCTGGTCCTTCCCCGACTGCCTGCCTGAGTGAGGAGCAGGACTGGCTCCTCAGACGGAGAAATCCCATCTTGTCAGAGTGCCTATGGCTTCCTGGAGGTGGAGGTGGAGGTGGCACCCACTACTCGCTATAGGCTGGGAAACAAGCTCAGAGTTCAGTTGAGGTTCTGAGAAAATACAGGAGCCTGGAGGCCAGAGGATGGGGATAGGGGTGTGTTGGTGGGAGAGGGAGCAGGCATGGAAAAGCAAAGGCGGCCTTCGGCAGGACCCCCTCTTGAGAGCTCGGCCATAGGCAGTGGCCACTGGGGAGCAGGTGGAAAGAGCCGCAAAAGAGGGTGTTCCACCTTTCAAACTGTTCTAATTCTGCTGTGGCCTGGAGCCCCCGCTCCTGCCCCTGGGCAGCATGACTCCAGCCCACCTCCTCTTGGAAGCCTTCCGGGTGTTCCCATTCCCCTCCCCCACAGGCCCCTCCTGCCTGTGGTCCCGAGCTACTGCATGTGACAGCCAGGCCTGCTGTTTCCCCTCATGGGAAGGGAGTGGGGGCTGCATGGCAGAGCCTGAGCCAGAGACTGGATTCTCCAGGGATCTGAGGACAATGCACCCCCACCTCATACACACCCATTGAAAAAGTAACCCCCGCCCCCATGCCCTGGCTGGTTTGGCACAGTGGATAGAGCGTTGGCCTGAGAACTAAAGGGGTCCCAGGTTCAATTCTGGTCAAGGGCACATTCCCAGGTGGCACAATCCCCAGTAGGGGGGTGTGTAGTAGGCAGCCAATCAGTTATTCTTCTTTTGATGTTTCTAACTCTCTCTCCCTCTCCCTTCCTCTCTGAAATCAATAAAAATATATATATTTTTTTAAAAGAAAGAATAACTAACCCCACCCCACACACAAAAAAAATTGGAAATCAAGAAGGGCTCCTGAGAATCATCTCAGACTCTGTCATCTGAAGGCACAGCTTGGGGACAGCCCCTTGGGAACGTGCCCAGAGGGAGAGGAGGGCACAGGGGGTGGGAGGATTTGGAGAAGTTGTCCATCTCAACTGGTCCGCCACAGCCGGAGTCTGGTCCAACCTGTTACTTCAAGTGCTAGCCCCAATGTGGACTCTGACCTCTCCCCTCTATGGCCTCTGTCTCCTCAAGGCAGGGCAGGGCAAACAAGGGGCCTCCATTTCTTCCTCCCCCTAGATCAGTGGTTCTCAACCTTCCTAACGCCGCCACCCTTTAATACAGTTTCTCATGTTGTGGTGACCCCCAATTTCATTGTTACAAATTGAACATAATTAAAGCATAGTGATTAATCACAAAAACAATATGTAATTATATACGTGTTTTCCTATGGTCTTAGGCGACCCCTGTGAAAGGGTCGTGCGGCCCCCAAAGGGGTCGCGACCCACAGGTTGAGAACCGCTGTCCTAGATAGAAAGCCCCAAGTGATGATTGTCACTACAGTCATTGCTGCTGGCCAGGCTCCCCTGCAGCACCTCCTGGTGCATCCACCCATGAGGAGGCCTCATTATTCCTGCTTTATTGACCTAAAGGCCAAGGTGGGAGCAGCTGACAGCTGGGATGAGGGGTTGCTGGGGTCCAAGCCAGGGCCTGGGCCAGAAGGAGGAGATCTGCCCTTGGACTCAGAGTCCTTCCAGCCCCTGGTCTGAAAGACAAGGCTTATATTCACTCACCCAGTGACAGAAGCCAATTGGAAATTGCAGAGGGCACAACATGAACTCGTTCTCAGGTCCTAGAAACAAACCAGCCTTTGCATTGGGTGGGGTCACTTAAGCACCCCTGGAGGAAGGGAGTCTGCAGCCAGGGTCCTTTGGTTTCCACAGCCTTCCAGAAGGTCAGGAGGTTGCAGCTTCCCTGGGGAAACCTAGCCAACCAGGAAGAGGGCAGCCTGGCCCCCTTCATGTTGGAAAGATTTCAAGAAGGAAGGACTCAGGCCTAGAACTGCTAACTGCACAGTGAAGGGAGATTTCACGGGAGGGGAGAAGGAAATAGCAAAAAAACAAACAAACAACAAAAAAATCAAACCCTGGGAAAAGGGAAGTGGCTGATAGAAAGGCACGTGTGGATGAATTTTAATGCAATCAGAAAGCCGTCATGATGATAATAAAGGAATACATTCAGACACCAGGAGAGAAGGCAGGGAGGTGTGTTCCCACATTTAAATCAGGTGCAGGCTAGGAGGGCCTTCTCTTCACTTCCTTTTTCCTTCCCAGGGAATTTCTAAGCAGGATGGCCTGGTATTAGCAGGGGGTGATTTTCACTTCTTTGTCTTTCTGAAAATCCTGTTAATGGGGAACCTTTAGAAGGTGTTGGCAGTGGGATGGGGTGCACTGTCTAGGTCTGGAAAGGAGTTTCAGTTACTCCAAGAGAGGCTTTAAAAGCTCCCTGCTCACCTCAGGTCAAGTGCTGCGCTTCTGGGAGTTAGACATGAGCCCTCCCACCTCCTCTCCTCTGCCCCTCCCTCTCCTCCTGCAGGTCTCTCCTCTCTGCTGTCTGTTTCTGATTCCTTTTACTCTGTCCATCTTCACCGTTTTCCCTCCCTCTCTGCTCCTAACCCCATCTTCTGCCATCCCTCCTCAGCTTCACCCCTTTTTACTGTCTCTCTCCCTTTCTCTTGGTTTCCCAGTCTTTGCCCCCAGCCCAGAGCTGGAGTTGGTGAGCCCTGGAGATAAGACCGGGGCATGCCCAGCCCTTCCAAGGCCCAGAAGCCTGGTTGAAAACTCAAAGGCTGGGCCAGAAGTCATCCGGGGACTCATTCACTTCAAAGACTGGTGGTTGGTGTTAGCTGTCAGCTGGGGCCTCGGTTCCTTTCTGTGTGCACCCACCATGTGGGCCCCTGGGGTGTGCGTCACAGCATGGTGTCTGGCTGCGGACAGTGGGCAGGGTGGGGCCTCCAGGCCCCCCCGCTTTGGCTAAAGCCCTCCCGTGGTGGAGGTCCAGGCTAGTGCGCCCTAACCCAGAACTAGAAACAGGAACTGATGCCAGCAGGGTGTGGAAGGAGTTGGAACCCAGGGCCACCTCATCATGATGACATGCCCAGTGCTGGGTGCTCTGGGTGAGGCAGACCAGCAGGGCAGCGGATAGGGCTTGCTGAAGAGGAGGAGTCTGGGGTGGCTTGTGAAGGAGAGCTGGGGCCCGGAGGTTTCCTGCTTCGCTCGAGACACCAGGGCAGCCCTCAGCTCTATATGAACTCCCCTGGCTGTGGGTGAGGGGGCTCTCTGGGGCAGGAGGTACCCACTGCCCTGGATACAGAGGGACATGGTCCCAGAGTGCCCCCGCCTTCCAAGAAAACCATCAATACATGATATATTGCAGCTTTGGGGGTGGAGGATGCATTTCTGCAGCCTTAGCTGCCTGTGCCCATGTGTGCCAGTCACTCAACCGTCTACAGACATCTAGTGAGTGCCTGCTGAGTGCTGTCGCCACAGGGCCCCTGTTCCAGCTACGGAGGCTGCATAACAATGTAGCCCAGAGTGAGGGGTATGATACAACCTTTTATTATGCTCTCGGATTCGGTGGGTCAGGAACTCAGACGGGGCACAGCATGGAAGGCCTGTCTCTGCTCTAGGATGTCTGGGCCTCTACTGGAAAACTCAAAGGCTGGGCCAGGAGTCATCCGGGGACTCATTCACTTCAAAGTCTGGTGGTTGGTGTTGGCTGTCAGCTGGGGCCTTGGTTCCTTTCTGTGTGCACCCACCGTGTGGGCCCCTGAGGTGTGCGTCACAGCGTGGTGTCCGGCTGCTACAGGGCAAGCGTCCCCCAAAGAGAGGTCTGAGTGGAAACTGATCCCTTTGATGACTTAGCCTTGGAAGTCAGCGAGCATCACTTCTGCTGTTCTTGCTTGGTTAGAGCAGTCACAAGCCCCACCCAGATTCAAGGGAAGGGGACATGGACCCCAGCCTCTCAGTGGGAGGTGTGACGTCATGTTGAAACAAGAACGTGCAGGGTGGGAAATCTTTGTGAAGTTGTTTGAATCTGTCAGCCTAAACACAGCTGAATTGTGTCAACAAACCACTTGGTACTCAACACAAGTGTGGGGAAGCTGTTGGGGGAACCCAATCTTCAGGCTCTCCAAAAGTTCCCAGGGCTGAATTTTGCAGCATGAACAAATAGGGAGGCCTGAATCAAGGAGGTGAAAACATGTGGGATAGAAAGGAGACGTGTCCCATGGAATGGCATAGAGCATTCACTCATTCCAGGACTCTGTCCCCAGGGCCTACTAGGTGCCAGGTGCTGCTGCTCCAGGAGGGCCTACTATGTGCCAGGCGCTGCTGCTCCAGGAGAGGCCCAGTCTCTTCCCCAGGGAACATAGCGGGGGTGAAGGGAGAGGAGGGCACTGGCAGGGAGCTAGACAGAAACCAACCACACAGGCAAAGCATGAAGTAATTATCTTTTAAAAATCAGGCCATGGGAGTGAGGGGCTGAAACAGAGAATAAAGGAGAGGTGGAAGGAGGGGCCTTGATGAGGAAGCAATAGTTAAACTGAGACCTAGGAGAAGAGAAGGAATCAGCCTTGTGATGCAGAGGGCACCCCAGGCAGAGGGACCAGCACATGCAAAGGCCCTGTGGCACACTTGCTTGTTGTGAGTTAATTTTGGCAGCTGTGAGTGAAGGTAGATGAGGAAGAGTGTGTCTGAGACGAGGGAAGAAGGGACCTCAGGACTGCATGAATGACCCCGTGCCTAGGTGAGTGGCCAGGCCGATGGCCTTGCTCCCTCGTTGTGCGACAGGAGCGGGCAGAGTCGCTGCAATCCAGCTCCCCCTTCACCCAACCCTTTCCGCTGGCTTGGCCCTCCCTCTACCTCTAGCCTCTACCCCCGTCGTCCCTGCCCCACTAGCTAAGCCCCACCCCCAACCACGCCCTCTTCCTGCTACCCTCCTGCCCTTCGGGTCTGAGCCCCGCCTCGCTTTGCCCAGCTTCTCCCTCCCCGGAAACCCTTCTCCTCCCGCGGTGCCCGGTTCCCCCCGGGCTCTCCCCCGCGCCGCCGGGCCCCCCGGCCCCGGTAAGCATCTCCTAATTTTGTTCCAGAAGATAGAAAACTCTTCGTGGGTATGCTCAACAAGCAGCAGTCTGAGGACGACGTGCGCCGCCTCTTATCGAGGTCTTTCTCTGTCTCTGCTTCTCGGTGGCTCCCCTTTCCTCTCGGTCTTTCTCTCTCGTCCCGCCTCTCCGCCCTCGCCCTGGCCTCCCTCTGGGCCCTGGGCCCTGGCTCAGCACCGCCTGTCCCCCCAGGGTGCGCCTTTGTGAAGTACTCTTCCCACGCCGAGGCGCAAGCCGCCATCAACGCGCTGCATGGCAGCCAGACCATGCCGGTGAGTTCGGCCACCCCTGGGTGGGGCTGGAACGCGGGCAGCGGCCAGGTGACACCGGTGCCCATCCCAGAGCGCCCGCAGGGCCCTGCCCACCCTTGCACGGTCCCTACCATGCAAAACCCTGGCCTCGCTGCTCACTGCCTTTGCATGAGACAGGAAGGCATTACCACTATCCCATATCTCAGACAGGGACACTGAGGCCAGACATGTAAGGAACTGGCCCGCAGTCCAGTTAAGACCCCAGACCCCTGGGCGAGCGCCGTCCCGCAACCCCCAGAAGCGCCTCCCCAGAGGAGAGGGAGGGCCTAGGCCAGGGGCATGGACAGCTGGACAGCTGGGAGCAGAGGCAGCTAGGGCAGGTGGGCCTCACGCGCAGTCCCGGCTGCAGGGAGCCTCGTCCAGTCTGGTGGTCAAGTTCGCCGACACTGACAAGGAGCGCACGATGCGGCGAATGCAGCAGATGGCTGGCCAGATGGGCATGTTCAACCCCATGGCCATCCCGTTCGGGGCCTACGGCGCCTACGCACAGGCAGTAAGTGGGGGCGCAGTCGGGGGTTGGGGTGTATGGGCAGGGGTTCTCGGCTAACTCTGCTCAGAACCCCAGAGCAGGGACACCTGTCTTTGCCAGGCGAGCCCTGTGTTTCTGGCCTAGAAAACACTGCCCCCGCCCTGGGGAGTGAGGAGTGGTCGGAAATGAACCCCCGGGTAGAGGCCAGAGAGGGCTGAGGGAGGGTGGCTACCAGGAGTGGTGGTTTGCTGCCCTGGTTCTTAAGGGGAGGAGCTTGAGAGGCAGCTTCTAGGCAGGGCAGCAAGGTGGGCTATCCTGAACGCTCCCCTGCTAGTCAAGCTCTAGGAAGCACCGATGGAAGTGGGGAGAGAGGTTGAGGTGTTTGGGTGTCACCACCCACCCCTGCCCCCATTCATGGAAGGGTGTGCTCCAGCCTCTGGTCACTTCTGGCAGGGGTCCTGTGTGGCTCCTCAGAGCCCATCACACCAATGCTTCCGCTGCAGTCTCCCTCTCTCCCTCTTCCCCCCTCCCTCCCCGGCCCCTAGCTCACCAACTTCTTCCTTCTACCTTGGGGCCTTCTTGGCCAGCTTCTCCCCTAAGCTGCCTCCCATATTTGTAGCCACAACCCCCACTGGTGCCATCCACTCCCATGGCATCGGTGCCCACGCAGGCCTCATCTGCTTGGCAGTTTGTCTCAAGAATGTTCTAATCTCAGGGGAATCAAGGGAAGGCGGGATGTGGGCCCCATGAAGACTTTGGAAAAGCTAGCTCTTTGGGAGCAGTTTCTAATAGCCTTTAAGAGCTAGGGCAGCAATGGGGGAGACATCGGGGTTCTCTGGGGGGTGGGGAGCTGTGCCTGAGCTCCCTGGGGTTCAGGGCCTAGGAGGGCTGGTGTCCAGGAGCTGAGCCCCCTGGGGGGAGGGTTGCCCCCCCTGGAAGCGCATGATATTTTTTCCACTCCTTCTGCCCCAGCTGATGCAGCAGCAAGCGGCACTAATGGCATCAGTCGCGCAGGGCGGCTACCTGAACCCTATGGCTGCCTTCGCCGCCGCCCAGATGCAGCAGATGGCGGCCCTCAACATGAACGGCTTGGCAGCCGCACCCATGACCCCAACCTCAGGTGAGCCAGCAGGTACCAACACAGGACACAGCTGAACCCAGGTCCAGACTTTTTGTTTGGCCAATTTTGGCTACATTGGACCACCTTGTGGCAAACAGCACATGGTCCCCTGCAGGCCTCATCTACCAGCAGTTTGTCTCAAAATGTTCTGATCTCAGGGGAACCAAGGGAAGATGGGATGTGGGCCCCATGAAGTCCTATTATGGTTTCAGGGGGGTGGGAATTTCACTCATGTTGTTTTGGAAAGAAATTGACATGAACCCATCTCCCCTTGAGGTCTGAGGGGAGAAGAGCCCTGCCCCTTCTGTGGCCTTGTTTGGTCCCTCGCCCAAGCATAGAAGGAGCTGATTTTTAAATGTCCCTTTAACCCAACACAGACTCACTGGCTTTTCCCAAGAGAACTACACAACACGCAAGAGAGAACCACAGAGTCACTAACGGACGGGGGGCGGGTGGGAAACAGCCCTGCTCACAAAGTGTGTTTTTAATTGGATCCTGGTTAGTATCCAGTTCACTGATTCTCAACTGGGGCAATAATTTCATGCCTACTCTCTCCCCACCCCAAGGATATCTGGCCATGTCCTGAGACCCTAATGGTTGTTACAACTTGGGGAGGGGAGTGAACTCTGATGTATTAGGTAGAAGCCAGGGTTGCTGCTAAACATCCAACAATGCACAAGACAGCCCCCATGACAAGGAAATGTCTGACCACAAATGTCAATAGTGTCAACATTGAGAAAACCTTGTCTAGTCCCGAGGGCTGGCCCAACAGCCTGGGCTTTCGTTCACCAAGCTTCCTCGCTCTCCACACCCAGGTCATAGCAACAGCCTTCCTTACACCTCCAAGCGATTCCTCGCCCAGATACAGTCCATAAAAGACTGTGCCATCTCTAGGCCCAACTTGAGTACTACCTCATAGCTCTGATCCCAGTTTAGGGATACTCCTGGACCCAGGCCAGCCTCATGTCCTAGTCCACAGAGAGATCCTGCTTTCTACATGAAGGGGAAGGCGCTGTCCAGCTTTGAGGCCTTAGTACAATCACCAAGCCAGCCACCCCTTGGGTTCCACCCACCTGGCATCGAGAGGGCACAGTGTATTGTCATCTGACCCTAACGTTACTCTCCCCACTGTGAGCGTAACCATAATCTCAGCAGGAGGAGGCCAAGGTGTCTATTGTGTATGAATAGGGCTGAGTCTGGACTCTGCAAAGTCCTCTCTCCCTCATTGCAGGGGAGCTCCAGAATTAGGACTTCCTCCACCCACGTAGCAAAACTTCTTCCTGGGGAGGCAGATCAGCCCCTCTGTGATCCAGGCAAGAGAGCAGAGCCAGCGACCTAGAGGCCCGTTGATGGCTAAACAGGGCCTAGCCCGTCCTGACTTAGCTGGGGTGAGCAAGAACCACTGGAAAGGACTAAGGGAAGACCAAGTGTGGTCAAATTCAAAGGCATTGAGAATAGTCTATGTGCTGTAGTTCCAAGGTTGAGTGGTCAGTGCTCAGGGAAGTCTTCATGGGGTAGATAGGATCTGGACTCTGCCTTGAAGGGTGGATACAGATGGGGTGAGTGGAACCACTCCATGCATGGAGGTGACCCAAGATGTGATTGAGTCAGTGTGTGCGTTCCAAGTGTACACCCAGGCCCTTGGAGCCAGGAGGTGGAGCTCCGTGGGTTGGCCTTTTCTCACCTTTGTTCTTCTTGCCTCCCCTCCTCCTCCACCCTCCCCATCTCTGAAACCAGGTGGCAGCACCCCTCCGGGCATCACTGCACCAGCCGTGCCTAGCATCCCGTCCCCCATTGGGGTGAACGGCTTCACTGGCCTCCCCCCACAGGCCAATGGGCAACCTGCTGCAGAAGCTGTGTTTGCCAATGGCATCCACCCCTACCCAGGTAAGCACATCTGGCAGCCCTTCCTTACCCGTGCAGCATACCCCTCATCCATTCTGCCGCTGCCCTTGCTGTTACAACCGGAAATGTGTGGCTCCTGCCCTCCGTCCATTCCTTGGTGGAACCCCAAATGTGATCAGGGAGATCAGGGAACCTCTGGTGGGAGAAATCAAGTTCCCATCCTTGGGGAGGTGTCTGTCTGGTAGGTGAGAAAGAAGGCATTCCAAGCGATGCAGTAATTGTACAACCAGAGGCTAGTAGCTGCAAATTAATAGAGAGTGAATTTGACCTATAAGAAGTCGTGGGACAGAAGCTAAAATAATAAGTATACTTAGTGTTAAGTAGGAAAAGACTCTTTGGGGAAGGAAGGGGAAATACGTAGATTGACATTCTGGCTGGTACATACTGGAGTACACACAACCCCTATCAGCACATTGCACAGAAGGTCAGGACCTGGGACAGCTCCCTGGTCCTGCTTTGATTAATTCTGACACACAAGATCCGGGAGGCCAGGGCCTGATTAACTCTGTTCCTCTCAAACTTAGCAGCTCTTTCGTGGTGGGACTGTCCAGTTGACTTAAGCAGCTCCCATCTCTGGCCTTGAGGATGGACAGAGCAGGAGAGCTGAGCCTGAAGCCCTAGGTAGACTAGCCAGGGACAATGTCTCAGAGATGCGAGGAGTGCTGTCCTCCTTCCTAGAGGGCAGATGACAAAGTTGCAGAGTCCCCATAAGTACAAGTAAGTGCCCAGTCTGTGCTGGGTGGAAGGGGACCCCCAGAAGGTGGGCAGGATGGGGGGCCTCTCCCCTTGGAGGTCAAAGTCCAGTCAGGAACACAATATACGTCGACAGGATGTTGGAAGAATAAGCAGAATGGAGTCTGATCAAGAGTGAATGTTTCCATTGTGAGGCGCTAAAGGTTTCAAAGAAAGGGAGGTTCTATAGGCTGAAGAAGCCCAGCAGAGCTGCCTTCCAGGAGGCTCAGACGGACGTTGACAATGGGTAGGAATTGGAGAGGAGAGGACGGACAAACCAGGGCCACATCCTAGGGAGCGGCTGTCCTGGAGACCCAGTGGGGGGGGGGGGGGCCTGCCTGGTGGGCCAGGGATGGTGAGGTTGGCCCAACCAGGGCAGAGGAGGTCAGCTTGAGGTGGGTCAGCCGTGGGCGGCAGAGTAACGCTGCCCACTCTGGTTGTCCATCAGAATCCACTGTGTGGCTTTGTAAAACCACAGAAGCCCAGAGGTTGTGATTTCAGTGTCTGCTAATGACTTCAGGAGTGAGGCCCAGACCCCCAGAGAATAGAAAAGTTCCAGCATCGGCAGAGGGCAAGGTCCCTGTGCCAGAGAAAACCGGAGGAGGCGGTGCTGACTTTGAACTTGGAGTGCTTGGAGTGTGGAGTTCAAAGTGCTTGTCTTGTCTTAGTGTTTGCCCCTCAACTCACCTCTCAGTGCGCAGAGAGGAGGCCGGAGAAGCCTGGAGAGAGAAGCGGCAGGGCCCTGGGTCTGGAGTTGTTTCAGGATGAAGAGTCCAGGCTGGCAAGGGAGGCAGGGCAGGGGCTGGGCAGCTGGAGGTGGGAGTGGGCCCACCAATCTCAGGTTCCTGGGCTCCTCCTGCCTCAGGCTCCTGGGCTGGGAGATACAGTCCCCGCACATCTGGGTGGTTTCATTCCCCCGCCTCCGTGCCCACAAGCCCATCTGGAGCTCTGGATTTTGACAAACCTGTTCTTTCCCCACCCCCACCAGCATCTGTGAGCTATTTCCCCCGTGGACTTTGGAACTGTTTCTCTCCCCCATTTGTAACAATCTGCCATATCCCATAAACAATTCCCTGCCGGAGCAGGAGGGAGGGGTGGAGGGAAGGAAAGGAGAAAAGTAGTACATTAAAAAAATTAATTTACCATCTTTAAATGCGGAGTTTGGAGCCGCTGTAATGAGCGAGATCCTTCAAAATGTTCACTCTTTGGCAGTTACTAATGAGGTCATTAAGCAGAGAAGTAGAGAGGGTCTCAGAACTGCCTTCCTCCACTTCCTAGCCCCAGGTAGCTTCCCTGCTCTCCCCTTTCACTCATCGAGATCATGTTGAAAGCACATAGTGTGGCCTTTACTGCCACATAACACCCCTGTAGGGGTGTCTCTATAAATGTTCAGGACGATTCCTTCTTTCCTGTGTCGCAGTATTTGCTGAGCACTTGCTATGAACCTAGCGCTGTGCATGTGTGAGGGTGTGTGTGTGTGAGGGGTGAGGGGGGATGGGGGAGCGCGTGGCTGTCAAGTGAGCTGTGCAGGTTTTATGTTACACAGGGCACCACACTGTGGGCCAGAGATAGAGATAACTCTTTAATTTGCATAAAGGCAGGATGTGGTTGAGGGGCTGGGGAGACCAAGAGCCAAGGTGGGTTTCCCTCCAGAGAACTGAGGCAGAGTCAGGGAGAGGGAGCAGCAGGGAGGAGCAGACACCCCCAAGCACCACCACTACCACCTCAGCACTGGCAGCTCCTGGCTCCAGGCCCCACGAGTGGGGGGAAGAGAGGGACAGGGCTAGGATCCGACTTCAGCCACCCCTCTGAGCAGCCCTGGCCCAGCTCCCCTGCTGCAGCCCGCAGTCTTTAAGCTTCTCTGCCCCATGATTTCCCTGGCTGCCCTGAGGTCCAGGTGCTATTGTTGGAGTGGGATGTTACTGAAGCTCAGAAACAGGAGCTCAGGAAGGAAGTGGGGAATTCCTCCTGGTTTACAAGGCCCCTAAGTCTGGCACTGCCAGTTAGCTTGGCGACCAAGGTCACCAGGCAGGTGAGTCCCGATGGTTTTCTTTCTGCCTCCCTGTGTTACCCAGTTTTCTCTGAACATACTGCGGCTAGATCTGTCCCCACCCACCTCTCCAGGCCTCTGAGGCCAGCCTAGTCCCACTAGCCATCACCACCAAAGGCAGTGCCCACTGTTGGCCTTGCACTAGGCTTCGGCCCACAGCCTCCAAGACCCAGCAGAGGCAACAGAAGTGGACCAAGCCTTCCGCAGCCCGGCTGCCCTCAGTTCTTGCCCAAGTATCAGAATGAGGGCCTTCTTCTCGTACCGGGCAGTAGACATCCAAGAGTCACAAATTTGGGCTGGAGGAAGGTCCTTGGCCTGCTGGTTCCTCAGTGTCTGTGGGCACCACTCCTCTCCCAGCCCACAGGCAGGCCTCATCTGTGTGGCCAGTCCTGCCCGAGGTGTCTTAGCCATGGCCTCGGGATGGAAGCCTCGTGCCTTGTGCCAACTCCCTAGACTACAGGAGGGGGTCCCTCTGCCTGAGCAGCCATGGTTGGCCCAGGAGGACAGAGTGGCAGGGTGAGGCCCCCCTGTGCCTTTCTTTCACCAGCTGGGTTCTGCCCCCCGACTTCTGCTAAGGACAGTGAGGATGAGACCAGCCTCCTGACAGCCTCTCCCATACTTTCCACAGCTCTTCTCCTAGGCCAGGTCCCTCATGTGTCCCCACTAAGCCCCTCATGGCCAAGCTCTGGCATCTTCTTCCCAGCCCTTCCCAGCCTTCTGCATAAAGCATCTGTCTCCCCACCCCCATACCCCAGGCCAGCTGTAGGCTGCATCCCCCAGCCATGGGGGCAACCTCCATCCTACTAAGGACCCTGGACTGGAGATGGGGGAACCCCAGCAAGGCAGGCACTCAGATGACCTGCCCCAGGGCAGACACCACAGTGCTTGGGAAGGGCAATGCAGCCACAGTGCCATCTCCATGGGCGTGGTGGGGGAGGGGCTGGCTTGGGGGGGCATCACTGACCTCTGCCCCTTGGCTCCCCTGCAGCGCAGAGTCCCACGGCCGCGGATCCCCTGCAGCAGGCCTACGCGGGAGTGCAGCAATATGCAGGTCGTTAGTACCCACACGTGCCCATTGCTCCCCCAGCCCTGCTCATTTCCACCTAGGCCTCGGCCGGGCACTGTAGGGGAGGGAGAGGTGGAGGGAGGGAGGGTAGTGGGGAGCTGAGGTGAAAGGAGGGAGGGCTATACTTCCAGAGGCCCCTGCTTCAGGCTGCACCCTCTCGCAGGCCCCTAGCATTCCACGGTGCCCTTGGAGAGGTGGGTGGTCAGAACTTCAGGCCAGGTGACCTTGCAGTTATCATCTTTGAGGCCAGATTTCCTTCCCATGGGGCTGCCAAGCCAGTGTGTCTAGTTTATCCAGCACCAAGCCACACAGCAGCATGGGGTGGGCAGGGTGGGGGCTGGGGTGCCGCCCACCGCAGTCCACAGTCCACAGTTGCCGGTCCTGGAAGCTTAGATGCCTGGGTTTGAGAGAAGGAGAGGCCCTGGAAGGGAAGCAGTTCAACCTTCCGTGCCCTCCTCCCCCCTGCCAGGTAGTGGGAGTTGGTGTGAGCAAGGCTGACCAAGCAGGGAGGATAGGCAGCCAGAGGTAGGAAAAGGAGGGGTAGATGGCCTTGGGTCACTGAATGGGAAGGGGACCAGCCACTATAGAAAGCCCAAGGCAAGCTGGCAGTCATGCTTCTCTCACTCCCACCCCTGGGCCGGGCAGCACGCACACACACGAACACGCACACACACCTGTGTACATACAAACACGCACACACCTGTGCACACACACACTTCTCATCTTCACTGCGCGCTTCTCCTTTACTCCTGACCGCCAGCTTTATCTTACGTGGCTGCACTGAAGTGCACTTTTGACTGGTCTGCTTTTGCTGCTCAACACTGAAATGTCTCTTCCTTCTTGCCTCTCACCCTGTCTCTCCGTGTCGCTGTCGTCTTGTCTTGCTCTCTTGCCTCTTCTCTTTGGCCCTCCAGCAGCCGCCTACCCTGCTGCCTATGGTCAGATAAGCCAGGCCTTCCCTCAGCCGCCTCCAATGATCCCCCAGCAACAGCGAGAAGGTGAGTCTGCAAGCCGGGCTCCCAGGCCCTTCCCCGTCCCCTTCTCCCCACAAAGAGGCTGCTCCTGGGTCTTCGGCAGGCGTTGTGTTGGAAAAATGACCATGTTTGTGTGCTGTGTTGAGGTGAGGGAAGAGGGCAGGATTGTGAGACGCGGCGCTCTCCAATGCAGCATGAGGTGGGCTTCTCGGGGCAGCTCTGCAAACCCCAGTGGGGAAGGTTAGGAGGGTGGGACCCTGGACGACTTGGGGGCCCAAGAATTCCCCCTCCGCCAGTGGAGAGGAAGGGAAGAAGTAGGGATGCTCACAGCTGGCATGGGGCGGGCGGGGGCCGGGGGAATTGTCAGAAGTTTTACCCTCTGGGTGACCAGGTGAGCCAGATGGGGATAGGGGCCTAAGTGCCAGCCTCTGGGGAGACGGAGATCCTGGAGAGCCACATCCAGAGGCCCTGGTGTGACCAGGGTGGGCCAGGCAAGGCCAGTGCCCAGGGAGGCTGGGACTCATTAAGACCCAGTGTCCTCCCGTTCCTGAGCTGGAGACCTACAGGAGCTGGATAAACAAGCCCGCCCTCAGGGCCCCATGGCCTGCACGAGCTCAGCTTGACAGGGTAGGAACACTAACAAGGTCCTGTCCTCCCCAACCCCATGAAAAGGTCACCCTGCCAGCGAGGCCACCACTGCCCAGTAGCCCTCATGGCCAGGGGGTCCACTGGTCTCCAGTAGCCCACATGAGCTCTTGCCGCACCCACTGCACCAGCACCACTGGCGTGTCTGCCCCAGGACAATCCCCTCTGCCCTCCCCTGAGCAGGGGCTGGGCAGGAGGGATGCCCGCAGCCCCTCCCAGGTCTCCCCACCTCTGCTTCCAGTGAACCGTCCCACAGCTGGGGGGAGTTAGCATGTGTGCCTGCGGTCCAAATCCCTTCAGTCAGACAGGCCCTGAACAGGCCTAGAGCTTGAAGGGCTGAGGCCCTCCATCTGCTCCCTGCCCTGCCCCCACCTCACACTGTGCACCACCCCATGGGTCTATCTCTGAACGCCTTCTCACACCTTCTCTCCATCTGTGGGCAGCTTCATCCCCACCGTCACGTCCGGTTCGCTACATCAGATCCTGTGTGGTCAGTCGCCACTGCAGCCTCTCCTCTGGTCTAGGGTCTCCCACGACTGTCCCCATTCTCCCTGAATAGGGTAACCCGGATGAGCGACCCTGGGGAGCAGGGCATGGGAGGGGTGAGATGTGAACCCAGATGCCTACGGAGCCATGCTGTGTACAAGGGAGGGCCCACGGCGCTGGGGGTGGGGTTGTTGGGGAAGGCTTCAGGGGCACACAGAGGTAGGGACACAGGCATGCCTGGGGGTGGG